GTGAGAGAATTGGGGGTAAGAGATAGGGGAGTGGGAGAATAGGGAGTGGGAGAATGGGGAGTTAGAAAATGGGGAGTGAGAAAAGGGGGAGTAATGGAATGGGGAGTGAGGGAAAGGCGAGTGAAGAAAAAGGGGAATGAGAGAAATGGAGTGGGGTAGAGGAGAGTGAGAGAACGGGGAGTGAGAGAATGGGGAGTAAAAGATGGTAAGAACAAACCCAAGAGTTCAGGCGGGAAGCGGCAGAACGAAAAAAAAACACCCCTGATATTCAGGTCAACTTCTGCTTAATTCATTCACTCTCCTCCCACCCACCACCTAAGTCTCACCCCCCCCCCCATCCCTACCCCAAGAACTTAACAGCTGCGTGAATGCTGGTATAAAGACACAACAAGAGGTTGGAGGGGGGGGGGGGAATAAAAAAAACGGATTTTCATTTTTTTTTAGAGAGAATTTTTTTCTTCTCTCTTCCTATTCTCCATCTCTTCCCAACGCCAACAGTGCGAATACTAATAGGGATGGACTTAACGGGTTGAGGAAACAGGAAGACGGGAGGGTCGGGGTGGGGGGGGGGGGGTGAGGTTGAGGTTAGGGTGGAGGAAGGGAGGTTTTAAACAGTCACTAGTCTGTTGAGTCTAGTATTTTGTTTTTACGAAACTATAAAGAAAAAAATAAAGTAAGATGCAGATGAAAAGCCTTGCTGTTGGTAGGTTCTTTGTCACTGTTTCGGAGACTTTCGGAGATTTCATACTATATCTTCATACATATATACATATATACATAAATACGTATATACATACATACATACACACACACACACACATATATATATATATATATATAGTCACTTAATGATACTAATATATATATATATATATATATATATATATATATATATATATATATATGTATATATATATATATATATATATAGTCACTTAATGATACTAATACCTATGTTAGATTTGATGATGTACGCTATGGCTAACATGCCTACTATTATTAACTGTACCAGACCGTATTATTTTAAAGTCTTCACAAAATTTCCCTTATCAAAATGTAATGTCTTAGGCACAAACTCCACAATGCTGAAGTATAGAAGAAAGGGGTAAATAATTCACTTCCTTACTTAAAGTTCACCTTTTTAAACTTGTGAAAACTCCAAGGGGAGTTAAAAAAAAACCCACGCAGGTATATGACAAAGAATTTATGATTCACCCCCCCCCCCCCCAACCCCACGCACCCCACTTCAATCCACCCTGCCCCTACCCTTACAAGACCAGACCTTGAAACAAAAAAGAAAACCTGATAAAGTTTTGGGATGCGTCTAAATATAAAACGACGCGTGCCTGGGGTTTACATTTAAAAAAAGAAAAAGATAACTAAGAAAACGAAACAAAAAAAAAAGTCTGAAGCTGCGACAGGAAGTCAAGGCAGACAAAAAAATGTAATGGGGTTATGGTGGTGTTTAGCGGGGGTAAAATTTAACCGTGCTATAACCTATGTTTATGGGCTTATAAATTTTATGTTTTTTAAATACAGCTTTCTGTCAATAAGAACAGAAATGGCGATATCTTACACGTAGATTACTGGTTTGTCAAATTGTTCAAAATATACACTACACATTTTTAAAAAAAAGTTTCTATGTAGAATTTAAGCTACAATTTTTAAAATAAAAAATAAAGCATACACAAATAAAACGAAGAATGAATGATTTTTAAATTTAATTTAAAAAAAAAAAATCACGTTGGTTTCACGGGCCAATCTCCTAGTAGTGAAAAATTTGTCCGTTTAAAATAGTTCTACACAGCACTTTTGGTTGGTTATGAACTGAAACAACCTGACATTGGCACTGGTTCTAAACGAACTGTCCTGGACTCCAGCCAGCTGTTCTAGACATATCTGGCTCCAAAACTTAACAGACTTTCGAATTTGAATACTATTCGAAAAAAGTATTCATACGCCAATGCTCTATTTAGTTGTTCAATATATACAGGTTAGAAACACCACAAAATTGATTCTTAGGGAATAATTTGTATTGGAATAAAAAAAAGATTTTTTTTATGAATTATAACTATAGCATAGAAGAAACATACTCATATTCGAAAATAAAAACGTATTCATACGCCAACGATCTATTAAGTTGTGAATATTTATACGTTAAAATAGTACGGCAATGTAAATGCAAAGGGACTATTTTTTTGGGATCAAAAATCAAAAATGTAGATTTATTTCGATCAAATATAAGATCAATATATTATAGAAACATACTTATATATTTATACGAAAATTGCCTTATTACTCAGCAAGATCTATGTGCCGTAAAATAGCACCCAAATTAATAATAAGAAAAAAAAAATGAAAAAAAAAAAACTTCAAAAAGTTGAAATAAAATGTAAAAATAAGAGGAAATAATATTCCAAGTCAGAGAAAAGTTACTTAATGGCGCAGAAATATTTTCAAAGAAAGAATGTCACCAACGTGACCTCGTGCCAAAAAAAAATTGTGTCGATCACCTGGCAACAACAAACGCTGTACAAGTGGTGAGACAAACAGGCACAGTTTGCCAGGCATAAACTGACCAAAAAAGGTGACCGGCGACATTGCCAGATTTTTTTTGTTTTTTCATACAACAACCTCCTACGTTTTGGAAGAATGGGACAGGTGTGTGTAAAAATAGGAACGTCTTTAACAACGAACAGGCAAGGGAAATAAAAAATGGGAATACGAACGCCAAACTTTTAGTTATTTAAGATTTTAAAAATACACATTTTTTCTGAATTTTATTTTGCGACGAAATGTAAAAAACAACAAGATAATCTTAATCATATTGCGGGGGAAGTTTTGAAGAAAAAAAAGTCAATTCCAATAGAGTCACGTGTCGATGCTATATTTAGAATGAAAGACAAAAGGGATTCATGCATTCCTAGGCGACGTTCGTCAATATCGATAAAGGCGGAGGGATTGCCAAATAACAATAAATAGTCCCAGTCAATGATTTTTGGCTCATTTTGGTTTGAAAAAATAGTTTTTTTTTTTTTTTTTTTTTAAACTCAGCAAGATACATTAGAACTTATATAGTAAGAGGTATAAGGCAGAAGTCTTTATTAACACGCAACATTATCAATAAGGAAAACGGAAAATGTAGTGTATAACAGTAGGTGGAGTGTTGTTGAAAAGTTGAATGATGAGGATTGTGAGTGATAGTGTGGGAGTGTAATTTGCATGTTTTCTGTATAATTTTTATACAACATATTAAATTATCGTCATTTATAAAAAAAAATTATCTATTTTTTAAACGATTTTTTTTTAAAGACAGAATCTGAAAGTTGCACACAAAATTTAAGAGACGTTAACGAAATTTCACATAAGAAGAAAAGAAAAATATCCCACAACCCACATCTTCACGAAAAAGCCTTTGTGACCGAAAACATGCACTCATATTAGTTGACATTTAAAATTTGCATAATTTCAAAATGCTGAATTCTTTAAGTAAACAATTGGAGTTGAATGTGATGATTTTATATTAAACAAACAAAACAACAACGATGAAAAGTTGTGGTGTTGATAATTTGAGTCAGAACAACAGCATTACGTTAGAAATGTTAAATTAATTAATTTACAACATAGGTCGGTGAGAGATTCCTTGATATTAGTAGTCCACAAAAGTATTACAAATGTTAGTACGAAAATATGGCTACCATTTGGCTACTTTTAAAAGTTTATAGTCTTATTACTATTACTCTATTTTATAATTTATTTTTCAATATTAATTTAAAAAATATTAACTTATTAAAATTCACAAAGAGCTTTAAATTAAACGTACATTTCAATCTTTAATTATGTAGATTCGTAGAATAATTTGTGAATTTAATTTAGCTGGATTGATAATTTAATTTTTGTATTGAAATATTCATATAAAAATATCTACATTTTTATCGATTATAATCATTTCACGTTAATTTTTTTTCACAGTATACTTAGGTCTACATATTGCTTTAGTAAATTTTTTTTTTAAATACCGATTTCTTCCAGTCCATATTTTCCATACACAAAAAAAAAAACAGCCACCGATATATACCGACGAGAAAACCGACAACAATCCAGAGAAAAAAAAAGAAAAACGACGACATGAATTTTGTTTTACTCAGGTAATGAAAGGAAGATCAATCCTTCTCAGGTCCTTAAACACTTCCTTGCCACTCACGAAGGGGCGCAAAACCCCCCTCCGGCGTCACCACATTACACGAGGGGCCAGACTTATTTCAGGCAGAAAAAATATCCGAACTTCCAAGACGTCCAAGTAAATCCCCATAAATATTGAATGCACAAATCCAAAGGAAATCACACCACATTCGAAAAATAATCAAACCCTTAATCAGACCGCATGTTATGTAAACGGAGTATGATTAGGTATAGCTACATCACATAACTTTGTATTGTAAAACCTATTCAGATTTTATACACATATTGTCTGAATAATAGACAATTTATGATGTAAATAATACTCGAAATATTTAGCTATATACCTAATCAATATACTTGAATATACACTACACTTTGAGCCCAAGTTGAAGACACTTTTAAATATTTAACTATACACTAAATTTAACATAAATCAAATAGCCAGTAAACAAAAGGAAACTATCACCATATTTTGTTTATATAAACATAAATAATAGATTCAAATGCAGTATTTACTATCAGAAGATCAATAATCGTGTATTGATTGTGATCAATTCTCTCTGAGGATCATATCGATCATCACCTTAACGTACACACCTTCCTATATTAACACTAACTATAGACTGGTTCATGAAATGCATTGGTATACAAAACCAAGCAGTTAAATCCAAAACGAATCTAAGCTTATCATAACGCTTAATTTAATCTATACCCAACTTTAACCATGGGTGTGTTCATCAAAAATATGAGTAACGTAAAAACTTGGATGAAAAACTAAAACGAAACTAAGTTTGACAAAACAAAAAATATATTCTTACCTCCGCCAACGGTCATTGTGTCAAGATTTCTCTATCTCCTTGCTACTTCCGTTGAGGTAAAAATGTTTTTTTTTTAAATAATGTTTTTAATTTAATTTCTCTCTTTTTTTAAATATTTCAATTCCTTAACACATGTACTCAACAAAGAGCTCTCTCTTTCTCTCTATATCTATAGATAAAAAAAAAACGCACACAGTGTGAGCAGTGTTAGCCTGGAACGTGCGTTGGCAACGCGTGTAGTAAGTTATGGAGTAAAATTTTTGATTCTAGGCAGCGAGGGCGCCACACTTTCTTCAGGCTGGCGTTCGTGTTGGCTGAGCCCAAAAAATATTTTCTCTCGACAAATCTATCCAGGTTTTTTGTGTTGTGTGTGTAAAAGTGTGTGTGTGTGTGTGTGTGTGTGTGTGTGTGAAATGTAAAAAAGAAATACCTTTCTAACACTTCTAGTTTCATTAGGTGTAATTTTTATTTTGTATTGCAAGTATTGGAATATTATTTTAAAATAATGTAAATATATAGCCCTATCAAATATAAACTTTTAAAACAACGTAATACGACCAACCACTTTTAAAAGAAAAAGCAGATTATTGTAACTTAAAATCATAGTTTTATTCATTTTAATTAAATGGAAATAAAAAAAGAATGTAAATAACTTTTAAAGAAATTTCTAGATTGTAGACTTTAATGAATGTTGTATTAGACTAATGATGCAAAAAATAAATAAATACCTTTACCAGTTGTAACTGAAAATACAGTTAATTTAAATATTTCAAAATAATTTCTTAATAGGCCTAGTCTAATTTAATAGTAGTTTTAGTATGCCTACTATACCATACATTTTTAAATAAGTTATTTTAGCATCACTTAAAATTGATGAAATAATACATCTAATCTTCTCTTCATATACCTATCTATTCTCTTTACTAAATAATCTACAGTCTTAAACATACATTACATATGATGATTATCCTTGCTACTACAACATACACTTCTACTACAAAGTAAGTTGTGTACATACTAAAGTATTAAAGAACGAAGTCTCGAGTTCTTGGCCCTAGTTCTTTGTCTATTTTTCTGTCTTCACATAGGAAGCCATCAATAAACTCGACTGTCTTTATCCCTACGGTAACCACAGATGGGAACTACATTATTAGCAAATGTATGACAGGTGTCACAAATTAATGACGCTTTACAATCTAATACAAATGTCACTAGGAGTTTAAGTATGGTTGTCGTGTTAGATAATATTAATATTTTATAAAGTATGTTTAGATAATTAACAGCTAGGCCTTATCGAAAAGTAACGATTTAAAATACATAATGGTATTGATGAGTATTGTCATTAAAATAGCGACCTAAAGTTGGTGTTTTGTAACACATGATTAAAACAAATTGCAGGCTATTACTGAGGCAGATTAAAGAAGTATTTATTTTACTGTAGAACTCTTCTTATTTCAATCACATTTGAAATATATTTTTACTAGATTGAAGCTAGATTATATCCTACTATCACTCATTTGTAGATGTAATGTAGATCTATATGAAAACTAGATCTAGCTATGGTCTCAAGTCGACGATGTTATTAAATTAAAAATTTGTATTCGTATGTAGTAGTATGAAGATTTAGTACCTATACTATATAGACCTATTTGGTTATATAGACATCTGACTTGATAAATATAAAGCTATATTCACACAGTGAACGTCTGTGAATTATGTAGCGTAGCTGTATGCATTCAAAATAGTTTATAGTTTAGATCTAGACTCTAGGGCTAGTTACTAACTAGTTAGCTGCGCTTGTAGATGTAGATCTAGCATTGATTAAGAAAAATATAGATCAAGGCCCTATAGGCCTATATTTTTTTTATAAATAAAAGAATAGAAAAATATCAACAAACCAACAATGCACTGCGATGCTGAATAAAAAAATAAACGCGAGCGTTTTGGAAATGAAAAAAAATTAAAAATAACCCAACGACGAAATGAACCGACAACTTCTGTAGCCGAGGTAAACAAAGTTTGAAGGAAAAAAACAAAGGTAACAACACAGCGCACAACACACACAACTGGACAACAGCGATCTGAACACCGAATCAAGGGGGAGAACCGCTAGACACATCAGCTAGAGTAGCGCCGCTTCGAGACCCGGCAGCCGGCGCGGGGGTTGAACTCTCGCGGCCTGGGGGATGGAGGGAGGGGAGGGGGGGGGGGAGAAGAAGGGACGAGAGGGGTGGAAAAGAATCCTTTCTTTATTTCTCTCTCTCTCTCCTGGGCTCAGCTTCCTATATCCGCCTGTTACAGTGCCCCCCCCCGCCTCTCTCACACACACCCCAACCCCTCTACTCGCCTTACCCATCACCCATCCCTGCTCAGTGTAAAATTGGGTTTTTATTTTTTTTCTACAATTTTTTTTTAAATTTCTATTTTTAAAATTTGCTGGCGTTGTACAAAGATGGACTCGGGGCAAATAGTGTACATGCTTGGATGCTTTGTATATATGTGTATATATATATATATATATATATATATATATATATATATATATATATATATAATGTGTGCTTGATAGTGAAATACCCTAGGGTAGGTAGAATCTAGAAAAATGTAAAGACACGATGGTAGATGACATTCGGTCATACGGGAACCCTATATTGTACAAAGAATTTAAAAAAAAAAAAGCATTACCAAAGCCATTAGGTAACACAGAATATTAATATATATATATATATATATATATATATATGTGTATATATATGTGTATATATATATATATATATATATATATATATATATATATATATATATATATATATATATATATATATATATATATATAGGCTATATATTTATTTATTTATTTATTTATATATACCCTATATATAGGTCTATATATTGAGAAAGAGCAAGTATAAAAATATATATATATAATTGTGAATACATGTGTAATTGTGAATAAAAAAAAAGTTTTGAGCCAAAATTTAAACTTGACGGCACACAAAAGACAATGAACGATCAACGTTCACCTCCAGCTGATCCGAAACTCATTAATATTCATCTGCCGTGCGCCAAGCAACGCGACGTTTGATTGGTCGCCTGGCGGGCTTCCACGCGGCGTTTTCTTTCTTCGCTCGCTGCCGGCCTATTTTTAAACGGCCCGAGAGGGCGGCTATTTTTAGAATGGGTTATTTCCTTTTTTCTCTTTATTCCTTACGGTAAAAAAAAATTTAATGCAGGCGAAATGCAGTTACAACTCTATAGATTATCACGGTTCGGTGACGATTGATGCATGTTCGCGTGGTCGACATGTTTGTAGGCCCTAGTACACCCCCGTGTATGTTTGTATTTTTATACTTAGCGCCCGCCAATTCCGTATGCGGATCAAATTTTTTTCTTTCTTTCTTTTCTAGACCGAGATAGACAAAAAAAAATCCTAACCAAAAACTATTGAGGGTAATGCCCTATCTGTATGAACGGAATTCTGCCTTCACGTGAAGAACTTTTTTTTACCCGGGTACCCTGTCATTCATACGTCAGGCCCGCGCCCATTTTGCACAACCAATACCTTCGGAGAGATTATTCCCCTTTGATATATTTACCTATTGTATGTTATTTATATTCCCCCGTAAAGACTAGAGTTATTCCTTTCGTTGGAGGCGTTGCTTCCCTTTGTTTTGACAAAGAGGGAAAGGCGGAAATCAGCGGAAATGTGTCAGTGACTAGCATTTTTTTTTTGCGTCGTCTAACTCGATAGGTTTTGGGCAAGTGGCAGGAGTCTGATAAAGAGGATCGTACCATGATGATCAATAGGACAGATGAAGTAGAGTTAAGGGGGTAGGCTCCGTTAAAAAAAAAACAACACTTTTTTAATACTAGAAAGCAAAAAAAAAAAAAAAACAACTCTAGATTTAATGCCCCAAAATTTAGTGTTTTTACCGGATCCAAAGTTTGAAAATTCGTAAGAAATTGAAGATATGCACTTAAATTTTTTAGCTGAGTACCCCAAAATATGGTAGAAAATTATGAATTAATTGTTTATTGGACATAAAATGTAATATTTTACGAATGGTGGAAATCCAACGAAGAGGTTAATTTTTCAATAGCCGCCGCTATCATAGTTACCAAAAAAAAAATATTTTTTTTTAGAGGAAATGCATATTCGGATGTACCTTAAAAAGCTGTAGAGAAAAAGTTGTTTGCTCTCTAGTATTAAAAAAGTTTTTTTTTTTACCGGAGCCTACCCCCTTATGTAACATTGGTCTCGGTATACAAGTATATGTGCGGTTATACAGAGCTGCCTGAATTCTCTCAGACCCTGGTCAAGTATTAATTAGAGCTAAGGACACGACCGTAGGAATTGAACTCCGGTCTTACGGGTTCGCATCCGAATGCTCTACGACTAGACCATGCCATCAGGCAATTTATTCATGGTTTGATTGAGCTGAAATGAAGGAAGGGGGGGGGGGTGAAAGAAGGGTCACAATGCCGTCTTCATACACGGGCCTGTTGGAGACATGCCCGGGGGTCCCGCGACCATAGGGCCCCGCATTTCATCAATAACGTCAACATAATTGAAACTGCTACAAGCTGCTTTCTTTTCTACTTGCCAGATAAAATGGAGGTTTTGTTTCTTAAAATAGGGGACGGTATATAGCGCACAAAAGCTGTGCGTGTGGGGGTTGGGGGGGGGGGGGGGGTTCTAACTGCTTACTTAAAGAGGGGTGGGGTGTCCCATAAATCTGACAAGCTATTTATGTGGTAGTTTAAAAAAATACAATTAATTGTAATTTTAAAAAAAAAAGTTTTCGTTTTATGGTTTTTTTGCGTTGGGGGGGGGGGGGGTAAGGAGGGTTAAAAATAATTGTTAATGACATGATTTGTGACGGTAGAAAACAGAAGCTTGATAGTTAAATGGCTTGACGTCGTTTTAAGAATTTAAAATCAAAGGGCTTTTGCAATATAGTTAGAAGGTAGATACAAAAAAAAATCACAAGTTTACATATACGTTTGGCTGTTATCCCGAAGGTCTCGAGTTCGGATCTTGGTTTGGACTTATGACTGTGACTGGGTACCTGACTTACGTTAGGGAAAGTAAAGGCTAAGTATAATGCAGACCACATTATTCCATCATAACCCGAGGTTAAGAAACGTATGAGCTCTACTTCATCTGCCTGAAAAGAAACTTTACTCGCTCGGGTGAAGTAGAGTTTTCCTGACTTTGCGACCTTCACGTAGAACTGCATGACTAGATCTTTTTAAAAAAAACCTAATAAACTTGGTGACAGTCCAAGTAAATACCTGCATCACTGCACAATCCCCCCCCCCCCCCCCCACACACACATATGTCACCAGGTAAGTGTTGACAGGTGAGCTATTCGTCCGTACAAAAAAGAAAAAAATATATCAGGTAAATCGCCTTGTACTTATTTTATGACTGGGTCGCGCGGGAGAGAAAAAAAATCTGGCTGCTTAATGCGACACCTGGTGGTGACCAGATGAATTAGTTGTGGGAGGAAAAGAGATTGGGGGGGGGGGGAGTTTGAGGAAGGAGTCAAAGGATTAAATGTTTTATTAGTTTTATTGTGAAGATAAAAATAAATATTTTGCAGCAGTCTTAGCGATAAAATAAATAAATAAATAAATAAATAAATGAATATATACATATATATATATATATATATATATATATATATATATATATATATATATATATGTATATATATATACATATATATACATATAAATCCCTCTCCTAACCACAACTTTACATTAATCCTAATACCTAAGGTAAATTAACCATTAATTTTAGTGAACAGCAGTTTACACAACGCTAACATTATTGACGAAAACCAAACAATAATATTAGATCTGTCCAAACAATATAATACTCATACATAACAGTATCAATCTAAACGACAAACACGACATTTGAAAGATAAGTGGAGATTTACCACTGCATCAGTTTGAGCTCATAAGCTCCGCACCGGGCGTCAAAAAAGTTAACTTTAGGGCTGAGTCGCTCATGTCTAGAGCCCTCAGCGGTCTAATATGAGAGGGGGAGGGGTGTAGAGCTTATGAACTCTATGTGTAAAGACATATGGCAAGACATACAGCCATAGGGCCTAATCACATAAGGACTGATTAGCGCCTAGTAGACAACAGATGTGTGGGTGTGTGGGTGTGGGGGTAGTGTGTGGGGGAGGTGGGGGGGGGGGGTGGTAAAGATTCTACTTAGGTTTTTTTTATCGATGCTTATAATACAATAGTGTGAGACTAGTCGAGTGTTGGTGTTAATTACAATTAAAAGAACTTTCCTGCTATCACTAATCAATGTGGACAGGACTGTCCTAGCCTAAGTCATCCACTAAACCTATTCAAACAGCAGAACTCGAAGGTAAATCTAAATCTTGATATATTATTAAAACTACATCATTAATCCACTAACGCTATTCAAAATGCAGACCTTGATGTTAAATCTAAATCGTGATATATTATTAAAAACTACATCACTAATCAACTAATCCTAACTAAACTGGAGACCACTAATCTAATCTAAACCATGTTCCGACTACTAATCTACTAATCCTAATCACTGACTTAACCCATAACTACTTATCTTTACCCTTAATTACTAAGTTAACTATGGCGTTTGTAACCTTAACTACCCTAGTTGCTAACCTAATCGAAATCTCAATGCGCATATTAAAGTAGTTGTTAGATTTCTTTTACCTTTAGCGTCTTTGTTTAGCCTACAATAAAAAAACTAAATAATATTAAATTTATTGGCTTGGCTGGAGAGTACTTATGTGGTGCGTATGTGTGTATGTGTGTATGTGTGTATGTGTGTATGTGTGTATGTGTGTATGTGTGTATGTGTGTATGTGTGTATGTGTGTATGTGTGTATGTGTGTATGTGTGTATGTATGTATGTGTGTATGTGTGTATGTGTGTATATGTGTATGTGTGATGAGTGAGTAGGGGTGGGTGGATAATACTTTGATGGGTTGCGGGTTGGAATGAGGGTAGAGGGTTGTTGAGGGGTGGGTATAGTAATACATTAGTGGGATTGGAGGATGTAAGATTGTT